GGGGCGACAATGTTGTCCTGGACACACACGGCAGCAGCACCAGCTCCGCACGGGAACGTTTCTTTATTTCAGCCCCGGGATGTTTCGCCCGCAGCCGTATCTCCATCGGAGACACGCCGCGCGGCTCTGCACACCGGCGCGGAGGTCGGAGGGGCGATTGGAGAAGAGGAGGAGGAGGAGCAGGGGCGGCAGGGGAGGCTTGGGAGGCTGCGGGGCTCCTCCCGGTGACGGACTGTACTGCTACACCCATCTCGTGGTTTATGGTCTTGTTTTGGCGTACTCGTGTGTGTACGTGCAGCCCCGTGGGAGAGCAAGGGGCGGGTCCAGGGTGGGCACGGCAAGCAGTGCGCGGAGGAGGAGGAGAAGGGGGAGGGGAAAGAAATAGAGTGCGTGTGTTTGTGTCTTGAAGGCGGCTCGCCCGCCCGGGCTCACCCTCGCAGAAACCACTAAACCGGCTGCTCCCCGCTCCCTCTCCAACCCGTTACTTGCCTCCTCACCTCCCCCTCCTCCTCTCCCCCATGGCCCACGGCCTCCCACTGGACCCGCTCTGCAAACCCCTATCGCCCCCTTCTCCCCCTCTGCCCAGCCAGCTTCCCCCAGGTGGAAGGCAAGGTGAGTTTCATCGGGGAGCACCAGCAGCAGCAGGCAGCAGCATCGCGCCGCCTTCCCTGTTTGTTCTCACCAAAGAACCCATTCGTTTTGCTTGCGGGGGTCGAGCAGCGCGCCAGAGATCCAACGGATCCTAAAGGAAGGCAAGCACGCGTGGTCTGAATAACGTTAAACATCAACAACAAGAATCAGTGGTGGGAAGTGAAAAGGGCCGTAAGTCTAATGAAAAATCCATGGACTTACGCCCTTTTCACTATTCGTCAGTGAAATGCACGCGCGCCTCTTAAGCACAATCATTGCATTTAATGGCTAAAATCTTACATTTATCCGACAAAATGGTGGATGACAAAAACGTCGGTCCTGAAAAGGGTATAAAGACTACGAATTACAACTTGTCCCTTGCTCCGTCCATCCCCTCGGCTGACACTGTGAGCCGGCCCAGCCAAGATGAGTGACCGCGTCCACAAGAACCACCCCGCATACCCACCACCGCCGTCCGCCGTTGCCGTGGACGTGCGTGGCGTGGCGGGAGGAGCCGGCGGGACTAAAAGTCCTGCTGCGGAGCTCGTTGCAAGCGCGCGGTCGGTCCCGGGGCAAGAGAGTGAGCATGGGGAGAGAAAGTGAGCGCGGGGGCGGTCTCGGGTCGGCAGGACGAAACGGCGTGAATAATAGATGCGCACCCCTCCTTCCTCGGCTCGGCCGGTCGGCTGGGCTGCTGCTGCTCTGGCCCCGGGTCGCCTTCTCCTCCTCCTCCTCCAGACGTCGGGCGGCTGCTGCTGCTGCTGTGCCGGGCTGTGCCGGGTCGCGCCCCTCTCGCTCGGTCAGGTAGGCAACCCGGCGCGCAGGGCTGCACGGCGGGCCGGGCGGGGTGTGGGGCGACGGGGGCTCCTCGCTCTTTGGATTCGATTGAGAGTCGTCGTCGGTCTGGGAGGAGGTGGAGCAGGGGCAGGAGGAGGAGGAGGAGGAGGAGGTGGAGGAGCCGTTCTGCGATTCGGAGGAAAGGCACACAGTAAAAACAACGGACGGAAACGAATGTTTTGTGTGGTGATTTTTTGTCGTTGTCGAAAATGAACAAAGTTGTTTCAGTCCAAAGCCAAAAATTGCCATGTTACGAAAAAGTTTGCACCTCCTCGCAAAAAATTACTAATAGATTTTGTTGACAGCAATGGCCCATTTTTTTTATTTGTTTTGAGAAGGAAGCAATGTAATTGACTGTTGTAAATGTTCTGATACATTTCTCTCTCGTGTACGTGCGCGGGTATTAATTGGCCGTGGCGTGTATGTGTACCGCCCCGGGGCCCACCTTTACGAGTCCCTGTACAAGCAATGTAAAGGGGCCGGCCTCGGTCCGGACGGAGCCATGACGAGGAGGAGAGGAGGAGAGGGTGGAGGAGGGAGGAGAGAAAGAGGAGGAGGCGGAGGGAGTGGAGGTGGAGGAGATCGTTGAGGGTGAGCGCCGCGTGGCGTGGCCCGGGGGTGCGTGAGGTAGGTGGTTTGCGACCCCAGTCCAGGTCCAGGTGGGACCGGTTTACGGGCGGGAGTGCTGTAAGTGGTGCCGGTCCGCCGGTCCCGCGCCGCAGCCTCCCTTCCCCCCGTACACGCCGCGCCCCTACCCTCTGCCGCGGCTAACGCCGTGGTGGGGCACCGAGCTCCACGTCTTTTTACTGTTGTTGAAGGCGCCTTTTACGACCGCGCTGATCACGTGGGGTTGGCGGCGGCGGCGCTCGGGGTGGTGGGGCTGCGAGACGCGGCGTATGGCGGGGCGCGCCGGGCGATCAGCCTAAACGTTTTAGTAGTCGCGGGCGCTCGTCGCGCAGCAGCGCCGCTGGCGCGCGCGCGCGTGCCCCATAGCGTTTTTCTGGCTATGATTTAGTAATGCGAGAAGTTTTAATGAGGTGTCGATGAGGACGACGAGGAGGCGAGTCTCTCTCCATCTGCGATGCCCGGCGTGATTGGTGGTAATGCTGGAGGCGGAGGACCAATGAGGGGGGGGGGCAGCATTGCGCGGCCGCGTTTCCTTCCTCCGGACCTCCGGAGTGAAAGTGGCCCGGGGAGGGCAAGGCAGGGTAGGAGGAGGAAAGGGGAAGGGGGGACAACCCCTGCGGGGAGGCCATGTATTTCTTGTTTTTGTTTTAATTTTACAAGAAAAGTGAGGGGAGCGGGCGGGCTAACCCTTTGGGAGCACTAAAAGAAACTATGACCTCTCAAGTTATAGCACTCATGGTACAGGAGAGAAATGATCTGATTGCTATGCTCCGTGTGGTAAACAGGTTTTTAGGAAATTTTTCTCCTTCCCGGAGATTTCGTGCGAACCGAGAGTGTACGACAAGGTGGTGGCGGTAGGGGGGGGGGGCGCACCGTGCGGTCGCCGAAACAAGAAGAGAGAGTTGCGGAAAAACGTCCTTGAACTTGCTCTCTCTCTCTCCCCGGGCGACAATATAGCCGGCGCCAGCCGAGAGGGGTGGAGGCGAGAGGGTGGGAAGACCAAATTCGAATCTAATTTGATGCAGGAAATGAATCTTGTCTCCGTGCCGCGCGCCAGTTGGGCGTGCGGGGTGTGGCGGGGGTGGTGTGGGGATCTCGGTGGGGATGCGGGCGAGGAGGGGGGGAGGCAAGGTGAGCCTCCTGTGCGCCATCGGGGGGCAAGGGCAGGGCAAGGAGGTAGTCGTGGGGGGAGCCAAGGCGTGGCCCAGCCGGGGACCGGCGAAGTACGACACAAAGAACTCTGTGAATTTATCATAAGCGCCCGCTAGCCTCGCCGGAAGCCCTCGCTCTTAAACTCGGCTCTCTCCGCCCGACTCGGCCTGATGGACGCCTCTCCGCACATGACGGCCTCCTCGGCGGCGGCCTCCCAGCGGGGCGACAAAAAAGTTTTGGGCGCCGAAAACTGAGGCTCTATCGCGCAGAAGCCAAGAGCGGGGTCGACCGCAAGGTGTGAGAAGGTGAAACTTTTGTCGGCAGTGGTGTAGTATGGTGTTGCATGGGGACATGTCACTGGTGAAAAGTGAAAAGGAGGTAGTTCTCGGACTTTGCATTTGACCTACGCCCTTTTCACTTTTCACGAGTGATGTATGATGTGGAGGTTATACAAAGGAGCAGGAAAGAACACACTGATGCACAGACACACACACACTCACACTGAGACAAATAGATGGCAACATGCAAGATTTATTTCAGGTTTCATTCATTACATAACATACATGAAATTGAAATTGAATCAACAGGACATGATATGCGATGCACTCTCCAGGATGTGACTCTATATATATTGCCGAGAGACCGAGTGAGAGAGAGCGACGCAATGAGAGAGAGAGAGAGAGGGGGGGGGGGGCGGAGAAACGCACCCCTCAGCTCGATTCCACTCACCCCGCCACCACCATGAATGTGTCCCTCGAGCCGCGAGGACTGGCGCTGCTGTGTGGCGCGCGGGGCGAGTCAGGAGAGGCTCCCCACGTGAATAGCCGAGTGCTGGGCCGTTTGATCCCTCGAAACACGCTCGCGGGGGTGGCTGCGGCAGGGGGTGCGGGCGCGGCCGCAGCCCGTCCGGAGAGAGAGAGAGAGAGAGAGATGAAGGGAGGAAGGGATCACACGCGCCCTTATCAGTTCTCCGTCCAGTAAGTTGAATGCACAACCGGACACGAGAATGACAAGGAGGCGAGAGACGACCCTGTGCGGCGCCGACGTCCACTGGGCTGGTGTGGTCCTCCTTTAGCCGGTGTGCGGGTGCTGTGGTCGGCGCGGCGGTCGTTGTCCATTGGAGGGGTATGGTGATCCTCCGCGGTGTGGTTTGTTGAGTCCACGCGGTCGGGGAAAGTCCCGAAAACCCCTTCTCTGGTGGCTCGCCGATCTGCTCGCTGTTGTGCACTGCACCACCAGCTGGCTTCCCGTAGTCACCACAGGAAGGACAACCTTGACCTCCAGCTCGTTTGCGGCCGCCTGAAACACACAAGAAGAAGGACATCTGCTATTATATGACCTTGGCTCATTTAGCGGAAATTTCTCTCTCGCCCAAAACATATAAATACACACACACGCGCGCGCGCGTGCGACAGCGGGCGGCGTGTGACGCGCGCCAGGCCAGAGTTATCAAAGGCGGAAACAAAGTGCGCGACAAGTGGGACGCCGATGACGTCCGTCTTGCGAGATTTGTAATAAAGTTAACGCGACGCATATCAGCCCACACGAGGGCGTGGCGGGGCGAGGCG